GAGAGAGAGAGAGAGAGAGAGAGAGAGAGAGAAGGGGGTAGAGAACAGGGGGAAGTGCTAGAAGAAAATATCACAAGCCCTAGTTGACAGGGAAGGAACGAGAGAAAGATAGAGTGGGAAAGTAGGAGGAGGGGGAGAAAGATAGAGTGGGAAAGTAGGAGGAGGGGGAGAAAGATAGAGTGGGAAAGTAGGAGGGGGAGAAAGAAAGACAGAGACAAACAAAGAGAAAAAGAAGGCGAGCGATACAGAGAGAGAGAGAGAGAGAGAGAGAGAGAGAGAGAGAGAGAGAGAGAGAGAGAGAAGGGGGGAGATGGAGAGACAGAAGAACAAAAATAGAGAGAGTGACTGCTCGATTGAAATTATGACATTGTTCTTTGCTTCAAATTGTCTTATATATTGATTCCTCCAACGTACCCCTCCAACTCCAAAAAGGAGGAAAAACGATCGACAATCGAAAAGACATCCGCAATCTTCATTTAGAATCTACCTAGATCTAGATCTAGATCTCGAAACTTTCCGAAATCACAAAAGATTTCCCCTACCGGGTCACTGTATACTTTGTGACTTTGTTCCCGGTTACCGGGTCTGGAATCCCTCAGAAGAGGCCCTACACTCCCTTTTTTAAAAACACATTTCAATGCTACAGCATTACCTTTTTTAAAATATGTATGACACTGCATTGGCCAACTTATTTTTCCTTACAAATGAAATTCCTTCTCAAACAAGACACACACACACTTATCATATAATCATTATTAACACTATTAACAGTCTGGTGCACAGCAGAGACAGAGAAAACCAGTGAAAGCTGGTGAAATAATGGGGAGAGAATGAGTTAATAACTTAAAATCAGGATTTAGATTTCTAGATCTCTAGAATAAAGTATTTGAGAGAGAGAGAGAGGGGGGGGGGAGAGAGAGAGGGGGGGGGGGGGGAGAGACAGAGACAGAGAGAGCAGAGATACTGAGTCTTCTATAAATAGACTGCCCCCAGACAGACTATTTTAGGGATGACAAAATAAACAAAGTAGGTCAAACATCTGCCGACTCGGCGTCGAGTTTAGCATCGATGACACGTCAACGATATAAGACACTCAAGTTATGTCAACAATACATACTGCAAACAACAAACGTTTCTCTGAGCTCTGGAAAATCGCAGGGCCTACACAGTCAATGGCCCGGCTCAGATTGTATCCCTTTGCCTGCAGTACTTACGCGCAAGATGCACACTGGCCTTTTTCGTGAGCCTCCATCAAATGCCATGCCAAGCTCGAATCTTTGAGTTTTAGTGTTGATCTAAGTTTCCTCCACCGATCGAAAGAATCTGCCAAATACACACGTCTAGCGTCCCTCCATTTATAGGCTTCCTGGCGTTTGATTATCCTGTCTCTTTCGTTCTTTGCGGGACGCCCTTTCGACAGTCGTTTGTGCATTATGTCAGTCCGCCGGATGGAAGCCATTTTGTCAGTGTCTGCCAGTCAGCCAGTCAGCAGTCAGCAGTGCAGTTTGATTGGTCAGGTTTACCTTTCAAACGCCATGTCGGTGAAAAGGAAGTTTGACTTCGTTCAATGTAGCCTAGGGCCTAACAGAACGCAAGTCAGATTTTTAAAAGACGGGCTAATAAAGGCTTGACAGTTTTGAAACATGAACTGTATTTTAAGCATGAGTAGGCCTTGGCCCTAATTTATTGAAGTAAAATTAGGTAAAACTTTACTCTTTGTTTTTAAAACTACCTTAGGCTACTTCAACTTGGGAAAACTGTTATACATCTAATATCGTATGTATGTTGTACTAGTAAGGATTAAAAACAAAACAATAAACATTTAATTGATCTTAGTTTTAAAACATGATTGGGTTCTCTGGAGCATCCATGACCTTTTATAGATCATTCTTCAAATCAAGAAATCCACCCTGGCAATAAACTAAATGGTGCGCATGTGCAGTACAGAGGAGTGTCACCTGGCGGGTTGGCATGGCATGTTAGCCTGTCAGTGCTGTCTGTCTGTCTGTCTCGTCTGTGGCACTAAGCTTCCAACGGCAATAGGCCTAGCTCAGCAGTGAACTCTTTGTGTTATGGTCCCTTTTTGTTTTAAGATATGTATATATTCAAACACGTTGACTTTTAAGTAAAGAACAATGGCAAACACGTTTAGATCTAGAAATCTAGATTTACTTGAAAATACATACACGATATTATTGTTCATCAGAAAAAGCGCTTTGCCCTGTGGAAGAAAGTACATGTATCATTCATTGTAGGGTAGGTCTACAAAAAAGAACAAGTAGGCTACATAAAGAGAACATTCTCCCATTCATTCCATTGTGTAGTTTAATAAAGACAACCGGAGACCTTTTATTCTTCTTTTTGGTCCCGCCCCCCCCCCCCCCCCCCCCCGTGGTTGACTTTTTTAGGGGGGGGGGGGCTACACCTGAAGGCTATCTCGCTTATTACAGGACCGAATTTTACCAAATTTCACACATGTAACAAGCATAGTAAGGAGTCTTTAAATCCGCAGTCAAATTTGAGAAAAAGTTTCGTTTCCATGGATACGGTGGCCATATTGGATTTTGTTGACATGTCTTACGTAATGAATACCGCACTTATCGCTTATGGAAATTGAATGGGGGTTTTTGCATGCGTGTTCACAAACATTAGATCTAAAAATTTGTCTTTTGTTTTTTTCCTAAACGAATTAGAACATTTTTTATAAATTTTTTCCTGAGGTAGCATCCAAGTTTTTTAAAAATCCGTAAAAATCCACACTCCAGACACCACCAACAAAAATCTATTCCATACATCGAAAATATCTTCTCTTCATTCGGTGAAAATTTCATGAAGATTGGAAGAAAAATGGTGGAGTTATTCAAAAAAGTATAGAGAAAAGTCGCGTTTCGAGAAAACGGCCGATAAAGACAAATAAAATACTGACTTTATGAGGAAATGGCGGTGACAAACATGCCTGGTATGGGGGAAAATACGGTTTTTGGGGTTCGTATGTGATGAAATAGTTGCAGGAGAGGCTGAGGAAGCTATAAATGCCTACAACTCAAATTCCATAATTTTGAGCCGAATTTTGACTTTTGGGGTTACGTAACCCCCCCCCCCCCCCCCCCCCCCCCCCCTTTGGGCTTTGGGAATGGCCTAAAGACATTGTAACAGTCAGTGGCACTGCCCCGGGGGTACTATATATATATTTGTATATAAATATATATATATAAATATATATGTATATATATATATATATATATATATATATATATATATATATATATATATATATATATATATATATATATCAGGCGCGGTTCGCCCATAGCCTAGAGCACGGTCGTGCAGTGCCGCCCAAAATTTTTGAATGTTCTATTACGCAAAACACCCACAATAATATTATAAATGAAACCGGAAACAAACACTAGCCAAATATTATATCTAAACAAAGGTCCTCACTTGCGCCATTACTGTCATTTCTATGTCTATAGCGCCGTAAAACATCTACTATATGCCAAAGTCCACACGCTTTAGCTAAACAGAAAAAGGATATTCAACAGTGTAACCTGACCTATAAATCGCTCTTGGGGATAACCCAAGCGATGTCGACACTCGTAGCGAGTTTGGCGGTACAATAATATTAATAAGCCGGCACATGTCAAATGTTCTCCTGCCGAATAGTGCTGAAACATAACCCACTGTAGGTAGTCTAAAAATAAACACGATAGACCCTACGCTCTTCTTTACTAGTATTATGGGAGCCCCGGAGCAACCCAGGGGAGTGCTCAAGTGAATTGTGATTGGTTCACTGTTTGTCTTGCCACTATTTTAAGTGACTCTGTAGCCGTGAACCTGAGGGAGGTGAACGTGACCGTCCTATGAGTTGTGCCTTTGAATGGTTTTGTAGTGGAGTAGTAAAAGTTATTACATGTACATGTACTTGAGTGTTCAGTTCCAATACAAGATGAACAAAATTGATGTTTAGGTAACAAACAAATTTAGTACTAGAAATAAAAGCGACAAGTAAAAAGAATGAAAATAAAACCACGAGGCCCTCCCTCACCAACCCAAAGATCCTAAACTTATACACCGTCTCATTTACTATGCCCTTGACTATCTTCAGCATACCATAGCTTAATTATTATTGAGCACGCCCACTTTTTAGCCCCACGAGCCTCCCCTGAGATATATATATATATATATATAGTAATCTCCGCCTAAGATCCCGGTGCTCGGGAGAAAGGAAAATGCGGGATCTTAGGCGAACCGGGATCTTAGCCGAATGGCCAGGGGGAAGAATCCACAGTAACTCATGGTCAAGCACAAAATCTGTACAATGACCTCTCCTTACTTTAAAATGAACTGACGTGACTCATGGGTACTAAAAGTTCTTTTCAGATGTCAGTTTTTCCTTCTTTTTTGTTTTGTTTGTTTGATACTGTGTCAGAAGGGAACCAGTTTACTTCAAGCAATGCGCCACATCAAAAATGTATTGCCTTCCATCTCTAATGGAGTTCCCCGCCCATGGCATGATGCATCATGCATAACTCGTTGTGCTTTGACCAAACCGACCAGATTAAAAAAGAAAAGAAAGGCATGTTCACTGCCAACAGATGACCACATTACGCAGAGGCGATCGGACAGTCCACGATTATGGGCGCAAGTCTGTCTATGAAGTTAAAACACAAAACTGGTTTAGACGAGAGCGATGGTCGGGAAAACGTAAACGTCTACGAGTTCATAGTTTGATGGAATGCGGTCTGATCTAGGGTCTGATGCTTGCTTGTAGGCCCTCCCCACTTAGTGTGTGATGTAAGATCAGGCTGGCGGCTCTGGTGATCGGGGAGAGCACGGCATCGATGAGTTCACGCTTGGTGCGATCCCGTCTGGGGCAAACATTGTAACCGCTTATCGAGATTTACAACAGAGGTGTGATCGCATTCATGAGAGTGAATGATTCGTGACGCGACGGACCATATTATAATGATCGCACATCTTTGCTACTTGGTTGATTCTTAAATAAAGAAAAAATTAACTAAATTATGACCTGAAAAGCGGGATCTTAGCTCCTGCCGTGTGTGATCTTAGTGGTGACTTTTATATAAAAATTCTATTTTTCCAAAACAGCGGGTTCTTTGGCGAACCGGAACCATAAGCGGTGGGATCTTATGTGGAGACTACTGTATATATATACATA